CACTCCCTGCTTTATGCTTTAGCCAAATTATTCCGAGCCAGAGTGGGAGACTGGACAAAAATCAAGTGTCTGTTGAAAGAGATTCTCAGATTGTAATTCATGCGCTTTCCTCGTCCTGTTCTCACCATCCATGGGTGTGCAGCCAGTTCCAGATGTCCTGTGCTCTTGTTTTGTCTCTGTGCCTCTCCCTGCGCCTCCACAGCAGAATTCATCTCTATGATCTGTTTCCATTGCCCGCTTTGATACTGCTTAGAGTTTCTCACATCATATTACAGTTTGTTGTTTGCATCTATCTGGTAAATCAAAGAGTCCTTGAGAAGGGGGCTTGTTATTCATCCTTTTATCTCCAGTGCCTAGATTAGAATCTGTATGTTATATTTAAGATATGCTCAGATGTTTGGCAAATGAGTGAATGAATGTTGGAACAGCAGATAAACAGCCATGTCCCAGGTCTCATCACTTCTCTGGCATGTGTTTAACCCCAGCTTTGTCAGTCCTGTCTTTCTATCCCCTTCAATCTTATGTCTCCTGGTGTTCTGTTCTTTCTTCACTGCCTCCTACCATTTATCTCCTTGTTCCATATTTTTTTCTCCTAATAGCTCATTTTTCTCACCTACTTGTTGCATATTTTTTGCTCCTAATAGCTCGTTTTTCTCACCTGCCCTGATCTTTTTGTTTTCTCCGCTCCCCTCACTCTTACTCTTGTTTTAGTTTTGCCTTGATTTTCCCAGCTTACTTCCTGTGCACCTTTGTGTCCTCTCCTGCTAGACTGCCTAGCTTGTGTGTTCTTTTTATTTCCCTTCTTTTCTGATATAGCAAGACTAATTTCCTTTGGTTATCAGCTTATTTGCATCCTTTAGCTCAGCCTCGATCTCTTCTAAAAGCCATATACTTTATTTCAGGCTTCGGGTGTTCAACTGGAGCCCTCAAAGAAGCATCTGGGAAGAGGCAAAGCCCAAGGAGATTGCCAATTTATACACCATCACTGCCTTGGCCTGGAAGCGGGATGGCTCACGGCTCTGTGTGGTGTGTTACTAGTAATCCCTTTCTGGATTGGTGACTTTCACCAAACTAGAAAAAAATCCTGCCTTATCCTAAACGCTCTCCCCTGACACTAGAGAATCTCCTCTTTCCTTTTGACCCTAACCTAAAATTCTGGTGTTAAAGCCAGGAAGGAGAAATTCATACTTTATTGGAGGTCACGAAAGGGACAAAGAATTGTGTGTAGGCAGGGCTAGTTTCTCCCTTTTATCCCATTAATATGTGCTGCCCTTGAGTCCAATGACTGTAACCAGTTTCCTTTCGGTACTTCCAAAAACTGCCAGCTCTTTTACGGCCAACCGTTCTCTAGACTCTAGAGCCTAGGTGTTGAGGATGTCTGTGGATACTCTCCCCATGCCAGTGTACTATGTGTGTGACCTTTAATGCTGTCACTTTCCCTTCTGGGGCACACTGTGTGGTGGGGTGGAACAGTTTGACTGCTGCCTCCAAAGAAGCATTTACAAGAAGTTTGAGCTGACGTATGTGGGACCTAGCCAGGTAAGCAGGATGGTAGCCTACTGCACTGAGACCTTGCATGGCTCATTCATCCTGATACATATCTAACATTTCCCTGCCTTCTGGCCATAGCCATAGTGTCAAATTTAATCTTCATCCCTCTGGAAGATCTGTTCTGGGCAACAGAATATGTCAGGGCAACACCCTGGTATCTTTCCTGCTGTGGTTCCTGCAGCTTATTGTTAAGTTTTAAGCACCAGGCTTAAGGTGTGCAGAGATTGCCACTTACGCCTTCCTGGTTTAAAACTTTACTGCCTACACACTGTCAACTAGGCAGTTTGATAAACAGGATTATAAACGTGAACTCTGTTGTTTTAAGGCCTCTGAGCTTACTTATTTGATGTTGCAAGCTAATTTCTCAGTTCCTGAGCCCATTTTTCTCTTTTTTCTACCTCTGTCCTTTCATTTATTATACACTGGTTTCTCCATTCTTTTGTTCTTTCCAGAAACATGTATTAATTCTCTACTATGTGTCAGCAGTGTTAGGCATTGGGATTACACAGATAATTATCTGTAAGACATTGTCCCTTGGATCAAGATCATTATAACAGAGGACACAGACATATCAAAAATAATATTAGCCAGATGCAGTGGCACATGCCTGTAGTCTCAGCTACTCAGGAGGTGGAGGCAGGAGGATTGCTTGAACCCAGGAGTTCAAGGCCAACCTAAGCAACATAGTGAGACCCTGTCAGTCGGTCAATCAGTTGATCAGTATGTACACTGTGATCACTGATATATAAGGTTTGTACCAAGACTGAAAACATAGAGTGATTGGTTTTACCCAGTGGAACTTTCAGAATTACATAAATTATGAGCATCAAAATGGATAATATAGGAAAGCATTTCATAAATAGTAAATCCCCATATAAACCTAAGGTACCATTACTATCAGCAATATCCAAGGCCCAAAGAGGAAGAAGATATTAGCTTTGTTTAGACTGTGCAAGTGGGCAAAGGATATGGTTATACACCCTTCTTTTGGGCTGGGGAAGGCTAAGGGGCTCAGACTTGTCCTTTACCAAGGTGATTGTGAAGAACCTGTCATCGGGAACCCAAGTGCTGCTCAAGTGCCACTATAGCTATGAGGTGGAAGAGGTGAAAATCCTGGGAAAGGAGCATTACTTGGTGGCCCACACATCAGACACTCTGCTGCTGGGGGACCTGAACACTAATCGCCTTAGTGAGGTAGGAACCAAAATTGAGAGTAGGGTAGGGAATGGGGCATCTTGGCTTAATACTTGTGGGGACCCAAAATCCCTAGGGGTAAGATCTCCATGAGAAGGTTCAACATTCTGGTGTAGGGGACCTTGTTTCAGGGAAGGAGACTCAGGAGGTTTACAATTCCACAGTATGAATCACCATCTTTGGACTGTTTTGATGCCATCTCTCAGAAACATCTCTCTGGTTCCTCTCAGGGACCAGAGCAAATTCTGATACAGCACCTCTTTTGTGTAGTGCCAAAGCCTCCCTAAATATGGTCCTTCTGCTTCCCAACCTGTCATTCTTTTGGCGTTGTCTTGGGTAATTATCCACATTGCTTCTTAAGTCTTCTCCTTTACAGATAGCCTGGCAGGGATCTGGTGGCAATGAGAAGTATTTCTTTGAAAATGAGAATGTGAGTAGAGCTTGCTTCACCATCACCATCTCCATAAGCCTCCTTCTAGCTTCTGT